GTAAGTTTAGGTAATTACTCCACCAATAGGTATAGGGCCGTTACTTGACAAAAAAACTCCCACCCCTATTGTACATGCTTTGAATGACAAAACTTTTTTTTTTTTTTTTTTGTTATATATACATACATATATTATACAATCAATATTTTAGTAAAAATACAGATGGCCGGGGCAAGAAGAAGACACAATTTGTCTTATCACCAAGTCCCGAGAATTGACTCCGTAAAACAAAAATGATTACTTACAGCAAATATAATTGTAACCAGTATATAAAAAAATAAGATTTTCTGGTAATAAATATATAAAAATAGTAGAAATATATAAAAAGAGTAATAAACACATAAAAAATAAAATTTTGCAACATATAACTTGAGAAAAAATTTATACTATTCTTTTGAAAAAAACAAATAAAAAGTTACAAATTAGAAAAAATAAAATGTTGGTTTAACTTAAATATATAGGTTATGATTCGCTCAAAGTGACAATAGGTTGGAAAGATAAACTTTAAAGTAAATTGAAAAAGCTTATCTGTACTATCAGATAGAAGAAGTCATGCACTTTGTCACTAAGCGGAAGCATTTGTTTCAATTTTGCTTTAAATTTGTTGAGTTTCATGAGTTTTAAGTTTATTAGATATAAATTTATTCCATAATTTTGGCCCTCTTATAGATATCGAAAACTCCGTTGCTGCAAAAAAAACTTTTAGACTGAATATAAGTGTTGTTTGAGTATCTGGTTAAGTATTTATGTTTATTTATTATGAATAACGAATTAAAAATGTTAAGTGTTTTTTTTTAACTAACTTTGAACATGAAAATTAAAAGATGATAAATGTTTATTTGATAGACGGTGAGTTTATTAAGCTTTATAAACAGTTCTTTGGAGTGTGTAAAATGGTCTACATTAGATAATATTCTGATAGCATGTTTTTGCTTATTAAAGAGTTTTTTAATTTTATTTTCATTTGTGCTACACCAAGCTAGGTTTGCGTAATTCAGATAACAATGAATAAAGGAGAAATGTAACAGTTTTAAACAAGTTTGATTTAATAAAGGCGATTTAATAAAGGCGAAAGATTTAATAAATCAAATCTTATTAATAATAAACATAAGACATTTAACAGTATAATTTTATTATAATATATATATACATATATATATATATATATATATATATATATATATATATATATATATATATATATATATATATATATATATATATATATATATATATATATATATATATATATATATATATATATATATAGTATAATTTTATGACGTGTCACGAGTACAGTGAACCTGTTAGATAAAGATATTAAAAGAAGAAATCACTAAAGCGTCAACAAAGTATATTTCTGAAAAAACGTCTTGTTATCAAAATCATATTTTTTTGCGGATATGTTCTCGGCTCTCACGATGCTACTTGTGTATTTTTTAAATTAAGCATATCGTTATTCGGTTTCCTGTTTTATGTAATATGTTACTATTATTATTACTACATACATTTTAGTTCATCAAGGCAAACATTTATTTGCAACTTTTAACTTATATATTCTGAATATATAAGTTAAAAGCTAATAAAAACTTCAACTTTACTAACTAGGCTCAAATTATTGTTCATGTTAAGCTGAGCAACTACTCAGTATTTTTGGAGTAAATTACTTAGCTTGGCGTGAATAAAAACAGCGAATGTGCTAAAATTTTTATTCACGTAAAGCTGAACAAAAAGCTGAACTTCAAAAACCCTGATTTATTCAGCGTTTATAAGCACTGAGTCTTTATGATGCTCGGGGTATATTACAAAAAAAATTTACCGGATGCCCCATCCCCCACACCACAACCATTAAAACAAAAATAATAAGAAAAATAAAGCTATTATTTCTATTATTCACAAAATTATTTTAAAATTCTATATTTAAGACAGTTCACGAATCAAACAATTAAACACACCAAAGAAAAAAAAAATTTCCGGATTTGGTATCAAGTTTTTCTAACATTATACCAAGACTTTAAGAGCTTTTCTTGCAGCAAATTTGGAAGTTGCAACACCCTAATCAATTATCTTCGCTAGATCTGCTTTGATTAAAAGAGTAAGGCAGTCTATAAGAAGATCTTGTACTATTGTAGCTCTTAGAAAGTTCTTGACGAGAGCTAACTGGCTAAAAGATCTCTCGTCTTCAGCCATAGATACTGATAAAATAAGATAAATACAAACACAGATGCATATCTGGGAAATATATCCTTTAAAATCTTCTCATAAATGCTATTCAGAAGATATAAGGGCTGATCAATCGTCAGTAGATGGTAATCTGTAATCTCTCTGATGAAGGTAACATAGTAAACCATTATCATTTTTTTATTGGATGTTTTCTAATTTTTTTATTTGGGATACTCATGATTTTTTTGTCATCTGATGATGTCCCGTAAACATGATGTCCGGGTAAAACCGACCCGAATCCCCCACAGTGGACCAGGTGGTGGACAAAAGTAAAAAAAACTGGGGATGTTTATATGGTCTCTAATAATGATTTTTACAAGTTAAATGATGTATCCAACTTCTTTTCTTTCTTTTTTTTTTTGTTATTTAGGTGTCCAAGAAGACCTAACGGTCTTGTCACAGAGCACCGCGGAAGTGCATTTAACCAGCTCGTGTCGAACCTGGATCAGTATAATGTTATTTACAGTATAACATGTAAACATGATGCAGTAAATAACATGAACTTAATGAAAGTAAATAAACATGATGCAGTAAATAACATGAACTTAATGAAACTAAATAAACATGATGCAGTAAATAACATGAATTTAATGAAAGTAAATAAACATGATGCAGTAAATAACATGAACTTTGCTGCAATTAATAACTTGTCTAATTTTATAAAGCATCTTTGACAAAGGTGGCATATATGCAAAAGCTCTAAAATTCATTTTGAAGAAAATAACAATGGCTACAAAAAAAAACCCGGTTATATCGGTTTAAGTTGTATTTGATGACAAGTATATTGAACTAACTTCTTTCATTGATAAAGATAACTCTGCTCTCATCCAATTGTAATATCTGGCTGACCCCAGGTGAATTTTAATACTTCAAGTACAAAGAAACGAAGATTAGTTGCATCATTTTTTATCTTCAGAATAATTATTTGCATCAGGTTGTAGTTTGCATCAGGTTGTAGTTTGCATCAGGTTGTAGTTTGCGCCAAGATGGTAAAGAAAAAGAAGCTTAAGCTGCTTTCCAATTATCAGAATATATGAGTTTTGGTTTAAAAAATTATTAGAATATATGAGTTTTGGTTTAAAAAATAATCCTAAACCAAAACTTTTATATTAATTTATGCACAAGAAGGTTTAAGGTTTAGGTTCTTTTTTATTTGGATTATGTTTTAGTTTCATGAAATATAAAATAGTGGCCTGCAGAATAGAGAGAACTACATGACGGCCATGGAACTACATAAAAACATCTAAAATTAATAATTAAATTAATAATTAATAACATATTACCATTAGTCTAGTTTATAACTTTGATGTTTAAAAAAACTTTAGTTGGTAACTATGCAAAATATGCAAACTATGCAAAAAACCATTGTCAGGCATTTCAGGTGTTACTATCAACCAAATAAAAAAATTCATAGTACCACTACATTTGTAGTATACAAATACTCAATGCGGTTATAGGAGTTTATGGGAGAAATCCGATAAATTTACTACTTTTGTCCAGTTTATTTATTATGGTTAACAAAGTATGCGATTGCTAAGTAAATTAGGTATCCATAGCAATCCAAAAATAAAACTAATGTCACCATATAAACAGCAATCCTTAAATAAATTAGAGGCTGCATGTCCGCATTTTGTGTTTTTTCTGTTTATTATCAATAAATATTCAACAACCAATGGAGTATGTGTCCAATAAATCTAGTCTCAAGAATGATACATCTTTTTAAAATATTTAAAAAATTAGTCGTACATTCTGGCAGAAAGCCTTTACAAATTAAATTTTTAAACTTGATTCTTTTGAAAACACAAAAAATGGATATACGGCCTTTTGGTTCTCGGCTGACGGTATGACGAGTTATTAGTTTTGTCCAGTAAAAGTGAATTCTGGCTCACTGTGTACTGGGGATGTGACTTTTTGGTAACTCCAGTTTCCAATATAAAAAACAGATGAACTTTAGTTTGAAAGTAAAAAGTCATTGGTTTTATTAAATTTTTGAAAAAGGTCACCCACCATGACCCTTGATTACACACTCACATACATCATTGAATTATTTTTCTTTAAAAGTATATCAACCTGGGTCTCAAAAGAACCAAAATTTCATCGAGATCTCAGAAGTATAACGGTTTTAAATAAAAATAAATTGCTTAAATTTTATATACAAAATACAACAGATTTTAAGTGAAAATTGTCTTTTTTTATGACATTTTGTTTGCAATATTTTTTTTTAATGTTTCAGTAGAAAAGATTATGAAAATTTTGAAATCACTATAGATAATAATACTCATTTTAACTTATAGGGGGAGGGGGAAGAGATGGTAAAAATATATAAAGAAAATGAAAAAAATGTTTACATATAATTGAATCTTATAATTATCAAAATAATTCTTATGATGGCATCTACAACAATGTATATAAGCAAATTAAAAAAAAAAATCATTGCAAATAAAATATATATTATAAGTAAAATTAAAGCGGTTTATTTGAGTTGTTAAAAAAGTAGGGCAAGTTTATATTAAGTATACCAAGTTGAATTCACTTTTAAAACGAGTAGTTACCAAATTATTTAACAAAAATAAGTTAAAAATTAAAAAATACCGTTTTATTTATAGATATAATTGTAAATTGGTATAAAAAAAATTAGTTTCAAATTATAAAAAAGTAAATTACTTACATAAAAATTATAATAATACTATACCAATGTTTATGTTATTACTGCTTTTAAAATTTACCAATCCAAAATGTATACTTGTCCATTTGACACTCTATATTTTTTTATCCTGTACACATCTTGTATATAATCAATTTTGTGTTAACCAACAGAAATGCTTTTCATCATGTTTTATTCGTTTAACTTCTTTAGATTGGCAATAGCACTGTGTAATCGAAAATGCAAGCGATTCTCGAGACCATAATTCGAATAATTTTCTCTAAATATATTTATAATTTGTTTGAGATTTTCATATCTTAACAAATAGCAGGTAACTAAAAATTTTGTTTTAAATTTGAAAAATAAATCGTTAAATCATAATATTTCAAGCATTTGTTTAAACTAAGGAAACTAAGAAAGGGGAAGAGCTCATGAATTTAACTAAGGAAACTAAGAAAGGGGGAGAGCTCATGAATTTAAACTAAGGAAAGTAAGAAAGGGAGGGGGGGGAGAGAGCTCATGAATTGATGGTGTTCGCAAAAAAAACTATTTGAAACACCAATGTTTACATTTAAAAAAAAACTAAATTTTTTAAACTTATATTTCATAATTTTCATCATTCATTTTAAATTTTATTAAAAAAACATTTTAAGACTTGATTTTGAACATTAAGTTTAAACTCCCTTTTTTAGAGAATTAATCTTCAATTTTTCATCACAATATTAAAACTGTTAAGCTTCAGTTCTCAATTCAAACTGAGCTATTTCTTATTCATTTTAAAACTCAACAAAAGTTTCTTTTGGTAAAAATTTATTAGATAGACTAACTATCTAATTTAATTTATTATTAACGAACCATTTAATTTACAGATTAGATAAAATTACTTTTAATCAATAAGATTTTATTTAAGTCCTTATAAAACATTTTGGTTTCTTTATATATAACAGATAAACACTTATATATTAACATATAACTTGAACATTGTTATTTATATCCAATAAAAATCAAAGTAATGTAAAAAAACTCTTTTATAACTAAACCATGGGGAAAAAACTTTTTTTTTTAAAAACAAACTTGATTCTAGAAAGTTTTGTCATTTAAAAGAAATATCAGCAGTTTTTTTTTTTTTAATTTGTAAAATATTTGAATTGTAAAAAAATTTTAACTCATTAAAACTTAGTGACTTTCATTTTGGCGGATAATAAAAACTTCGAAACAATTTGATTGAACAATTCAGTAATTTTTTATCTCAAGCTTTATGTTTATATATACAGCGTAGTTGCTTATATTTGTTTACAACGTAGTTGTTAACAATTTTAACAATAGAATGTAAAACAATGTTAACAATAAAATGTAAAAACATTAATTACAATGTGTTAATTGTAGAATGTAAAAACATATAGAGTGTAAAAACATCAATGAAAATGTGTTCATTGTAGAATGTAAAAACATTAATTACAATTTGTTATTGTAGAATGTAAAAACATATAAAATGTAAAAACATTAATTACAATGTGTTAACTGTAGAATTTTAAAACATCAATTCAATGAAAACTTAAAACTTACAAAGCATAATTAAAATATTCCAATGCTTTTTCAAGTTCGCCTGAATTTTTAAACATAAAAGCTAGCTCGGCAGCAGCAAAAGGTGGATAATAAGAATCCATTTTACTTGAATGACTTGTAAAAGGGCTAGAAATAAATATAATTACTTTATAACTAAGTATGCAAAAAATAAAGTGCAAAAAAATGTATTAGTTATTGTTTCTATGAAAATAACCTGTTTGCTACTTCTGTGAGGACTTTCTCAGCCTGCTCATTCTTCTTTAAATGGTGTAAGCAAATGCCTTGCAAAAGTTTGCAAAGACATACATTGTCATGGTGATGTTTAGACAAACCTTAAGTAAAAACAAAGATTGCAAAAATATCAAAAAAAAAAAAGAAGAGTAAAAGCACACAGTAAATTATCAGTAAACAATTTAACAACATTCTTTCGTTGCAAAAATTTTGATGGGATTTTTAGTACACATTCACAAAATGTTCAATTTCAAATATCTCATCAAGTATCATGAGACTGTTTGGCCAGTTTATGCTCAGTTTTCTTTAAAATAAATTTAATTTAAAATGAAATTTTAGCTTAAACAATTAGAACAATTTTTTTTCAAAAGAAAATAGAAATTGCTCCTTATGACTTATAGCAAATTTTATCTTTTATTATTTTCTTCTACCTGTTTCTTCTTGTAATCCATTCAGTGATTTTTCTGTAAGAAGTAAAAATTCTCTCAATGTATTTTCATGCTTGTGAAACATGGTAAAGCCATTCCATATGTGAATGATTTCCTAAATTGAAATTGTTTTATTGACAACATATACTTTAAATCTTAACAACAACCAATTTTTGCGTAAAATAACGCACATTCAACATATTTATCGGGTTTTTGCTTAATCCCTTACTAATCCTGGCAAAATTAATCTGCCGGTTTCACGATATTTGTGCACTCTAGTCACAGCAAATTTTTCAAAAGGAATTGATTTTCCAGCAATTCTTTGTTTATGTTGGACTACCTCACTAAAATAAAATTAAGAAAAAAATGAGTTTTTAAAAATGATGGTTTTAAAATCTCAAAAACAAAAAATATATCTTTAAATAATTAAAGAAAATTTAACAAGTAATAAACTTTATTTTATAGTATAATGGGAAAGCAAGATAAACAAAGAAAGCTTGATCAGCCAATAACATTACTAGACATGAGTGGTAACATTCTATATTATGCTATCATAACAAAAACACTTATTTATAAGCACAACAGTTAAAATATCAATAAACTAAAGCTTACTCCAAAAGTTTTTCAATTTTTTCTTTAAATAACTTTGACTGATTCAAATCTTTGTTACATTCTGGCTGCTGCATAATAAGAAAGGCTGCATGCATATACTTGTATGATGACTTAAAAAAAAAAAAGATTAAAAAACTAAAACAAAAATAAAATATTTCAAATATTACAAAGATAGCAAATATAAAAGTAATCCTAGTTTTATACATGCATTGATTTATAGTTTACATCATTAGTTTTTTGTGGCTCAGTGGCCATATGTTTTGATAGGCTCAGCCCCACTAAACCCCACTCAGCAAAATGTTGTAAACTACGATTTTCATTTTATTAAACTTTGAAATATTGTTAATAAAGTTTTCACCTTTGACCATTTACTTTCATCAGCAAGAATGCTGGCATACATTGCCGCATTTGACCAATCTCCTTTGAAACTATAAGATATTTTTATAAAAAATTTATTGGAATTATTCAACTTTTTCAAAATAACAATTAAAAAAAATATCATTTATTTTCTTCTAATAAAGTGGAATAAGTTAAAAATAAATTCATTTAGGTTACAGGAGAGTCCATATTTGATTATAGTATGGGGCACATAAGATAATAATGTATATATAACAATAACATGGAGTACATAAGATAATAATGTATATAACATAATAACATGGAGAACACTAGATAATAATGTATATATAACATAATAACATGGACTATTTTTTTTCAACTCTACTATTTTTAGCAACATAGTTCCCTTTTATGCAGGGGCAAATATAATCTCAATAGGGTTAACAACTTAAAAAAAAAAAAAAGTTATATCTTTTCAACAGAGAATCTTTAATCTATCTGAAAATTCTTCAAAATATAAATGCTCCTTTTAACTTTTTTAAAAGACTTCATTGCATACCAAAGGTTTGCTTTAACTTAATTCATTTATAATGAACTTCTATTAATTTTATAATGAACTTCTACTAATGTATAAAATTTTCCTTCACCAACAACTTAAAAATTTTCAGTCAATGTATCAGTTGGTCTAGCAACTTGATTTTCATTTATTTTAATTCAAAAGCAGTCATACATGTAATGAGGTACCTGCTTCTTCTGCTAAAAAGTTTTTGCAGCTTTTTAATTTTCCTTTATTTCCTTTTAGCAATCAGTAGAGTAATTTGTTTCAGCTTTCTTGCTACATAGCATTTCTAAGAACATCTTTGCGACATATAATACATAACTACATGTGACATATAATATATACATACATTTTTTTTAAACATCTTTGCTTCCAACAAGGCTGCAAGCAACCACTAATTAGTGTTGGAAGTTACTGGAAGAGAAAAGATGAAGATTTTAGAGCAAGATAACGATTGACAGACAACATTGAAAGATTGCAAATTATAGAAAATCAAGATCAGGAAAGCAAGATGAAGGAAGCGAATTCCAAAGAACTGATGTTCAAGGAAAAAAACTAGACCAATAAGAGTTTTTGGAGCACTTATGAACAGTCACAGAAAAAGGAGGAGACTTATTTGAATAATGAGTAACACGAGGATGAATTTTAGTAGATGGCACAAGAGACGCTAGCTCTTTAGAGCATTGCCCATTATAGTACTTTTAAAAGAAAGACAGAGAAGCAATATAATGATGATGTGATAATGGTTGGAGTTAGGCTGCAAGAGCAGGTCCAACTATATTTACAATACGTTTTTGCACCTTGTCTAAAAGAGAAAAGGGCATCATTAGAATGTACGCCCCAGATATGGCAACAGTATTCTATACAAGGCCAGGTTTGAGATTTATAGAGATAGAGAATAGATTCCAGAGCAAGAAAGTGTCGAGCTTGATAAAGAGATGCAACTCTACCAGATGCTAATTTTGCAATGGATTTAATATATGGTTTCCAAGAAAGATCAGAAGTAGGAGTTAATCCTAGAAGATGAAAGGTAGATGACTCATCGAGTATCGTTTTTTTTAATTACCGTTCATAAATATAGGAAGGTCTAAATTATTGCAATATCAATTGACTGAAAAGAATTGAGTTTTATCTGATTTAAAGTTCACTAGCCACTGTGAGCCCGATGCTGTAATAGAAGTGAGATCCTTTTCAAGCTCAAATGCCACCTCCAAGCAATGAGAGAGAGTTGGCTTCTTATCATGAGAAGAATAAACAGTAGTATCATCAGTAAACAATGCCACTTTAGATGTGAAAATATCTGGAAGATCGATAATATAAATTAAAAAGAGAATAGGGCCAAGTAGAGATGTAAGTCGTTTTTTTGGTTCTTGTTTTTTTGCCAAAAAAACCGTTTTTTTGCCAAAAAAATCGAGGACTTCGTTTTTTGTTTTTTTTGTTTTTTTTGCGTTTTTGCCTTAAAAACTACTCTTTTTGCATTTTAAACACTAAAATGGTTTTAAAATTTATTTTTGGTGATATTTATTAAATACTTGTTTTAATACTTCCATTTACCATATTTTTAGTATTGTCTTAGTTTAGCAATTGTTCAATTATTCAAAAAAAAAAAAAATTTGAAATAGCAGCATTAATTAGAAAAACAATTTTTTTTTTTTAATAATTTTTAATAATAATTCTTATATTTACTTATAGTAAAGACAAAGACGTAAATTTTTATAAGTAAAGGCCATGAATTGCAGTTTTTTTAATATTGAACTGTTTTAAGAATTTATTATATGAATGAAGTAACACTGCATCGCAAAATAAGTCAGATCTCAGAATTTTTGGTGTGGGTGTGAGGGGGAATTAGGGCTTAATAAAAATTTAGTTTATTTTGTATCACATTTTTGCCTACTAAAAATAATTTTAAAAATTTAAAGATTTTTTATAAATTTATGGATTCTGGTGCGGGGTGGTCGGTTCATACCTCTCATTTCCCCTGGATCTGTCACTGGTTTTAAAATTACAAAATTATATTTCAACTTTTTTAACTTCTTCAACTTATGTTCATTAAATTTTTCATTAATCCATAATTTTTTTTTGAATAATAATAAATGTATTATTTAATGGAATAAATCAGAATTATCTAAATAAATATTTTTATTATATGAAAGAAATTTATTATATGAAACACTGCTTTGCAAAATAAAAAAAGGTAATCATTTTCATGTTTAATATAAGGAAAATGAATAATTTTTTTTTGGTAAAAATCTTGAAATTTTTTTAAAAAATAAATATTTAGCCATTTTCCTAATCAAAAAGATAAATATTTTTATACCACTTTGGCTAAACACTCTGTTTACACAAAATAAGTAAACAAATATACCATAAGAGTTAAAAAAAAATCCAAAAAAACCTACACCCAAACCAAAAAAACGCCAAAAAAAAACAAAAAAAACGCCAAAAAAACCAAAAAAACACGTTTTTTTGGGTGAAAAAAACGCGACAGCAAAAAAACGTGTTTTTTTGCAACACTAGGGCCAAGGATTGAAACCTTGAGGAACCCCTGAGGTTATAGAATAAGAAGAAGAGTACTGTCCATCAAGGACAACTTTTGTACTACCATTGGAAAGAAAGGATTCAATACTCTTAAAGATGTTTCCAGATAAACCATAAAAAGAAAGCTTATGGAAAAGACCAGCATGCCAAACTTTATCAAACTCTTTAGAAATGTCAAGAGCGATGGCCTTAACCTCTCCACCTTTATCTAATGCACCATAAAATCTTTCAGTTATTACTGTTAGCGAATCAGCCATAGAACGAGAAGATCGAAATCCATATTGATGATCAGAAAGTATGTTATTAGATTCAAGATGAGAGATTAAATGTTTATTAATTAAAGATTCAAAAACCTTGCTTATGATAGAAAGAAGACTAATGGGACAGTAGTTCGACAAATCGGATTGCTCTCCAGAATTTTAAAAAAAGGGATAACAGATGCTGCTTTCCAGCAAGCTGGAAAACAAGACTCTGGTAAGCACATGTTGAATAGTTTTGAAAGGATAGACGACATTTCCGGAGAACACTTCTGCAAGACTATAACAGGTATGTTGTCCAGGCCACAAGCTGTAGAAGAGTCTAAGTAGGAAATCACTTTAGATACAGAAGCTGGAGAGATACGAATGTCAAGCAATGGATCAGCCAGTTTGGCGGCTATATCAGGAAGAACGCAACTAGTGGAATCAAGAGATAATATTGATGAAAAGTTCTTCGCAAATAATTCAGCTTTATCTTTAGGTGAGGTGACAAAGTCTGAACCATACAAAAGAGGTGGAATTGCAGACTTGCCCTTATTATTAATACTATTAAAGATTCTCCAGAAGTCACAAGAGCCTAATTTTTGTGATGAAATATGAGATTTCATGACCTGAGAATAGCAGGCTTTGGCGTTAGACAAAATCTTTTTACAATGGTTCTTAGCAGTAATAAACAGACGTCTGTTTTCTGGATAATTGTTTTGCTGATAGATATGGAAGTAATGGTTTTGATTGGCAATTGCAGCAGCACAATGTGAGGAAAACCATGAAGAAGAGTGAGGCTTGACCTGGAATCATCGAGAGGGAATAAAGGATTCCACGCCAGCCTGAATCCAGGAAGTTATGTAAAAAGCCCATTTGTAAACAGGAAGACGAAAGATTTCTACCCAAGGGCCATCACAAAGAAAATCACGGAAAGAGTCTCAGTCAGCTTTAAGGTTGTTGTAAGATGTACGATGATAGGGGGATTTTGATAATAAAGAAGAATGAGATAATAGTTTTAGACAGATCAAACTGTGATCAGAGGCACCTAAGAGTGAATGTGGAGAAACTGAGCATTGACTATGATCAGAAACAAGACATAAGTCGAGTAGAGAAGGTAAATGATTAGGGTTGTCTGGAAAGCGAGTTGGAAAGTTGACTATTTGAGTTAGGGATTGAGAAAGGCAAAGGTTGTGGGCTGTAATGCCTGCAGAGTCACTGACACTAGAGCCAAGCTATTCAGTGTGATGAACATTTAAGTCACCAACAACAACAATATTTGTTGATGGATATAGAGAGAGGGCTTGGTCAATATGATCAGAAATAACATCAAGAAGCGTGCATCTTGAGATAAATAAGAACGATATAGAACAAAGAGAATGGTGATAGAGTGAAGTGGTGCTAAACAAAAGCACATAAAAGAGCAGCCTGTGGATTGAAACCTAGTTTCCTAATGAATGGGTGAATTCTTACGAATGTAAATGCCCAGGCCATGCATGTGACTATTGGAGTCTTTACGAATTAAAGGAAGATAACCATCAACACTAAGATCAGACGAGACAGCTGAACTCAAATTAGTTTCACAAAAAGCAAATAAGTCTGGTGAACTTTGCAAGAGATAAGACTCAACAGAAGAAAAGTTACTTCATAGATCACCAATATTAGTGAATGATTTTGGTAATGACGATGGTTTTTTGTGTTTTATAGTTTTTGTTACTTTATTCATTTTTAAATTTGTTAAAGAACTTGACTAGTATAATGTTTAAAAGCCCAAGCAATTGCCTCATTACTATTAATAAACCTTAAGTCATAACAAAGGACTATAATGTGGCCTAGGCAATGCACATCAGAAGTACAAACAGGGACACCATCCATGCGCAACATGGCACTGTTAATACTTTGATATTTTTCAGCTGTTAATGGAATCAGCCTCTCTGAGAGCTACCACAGAGTTTGGGAAACCTGACTACCAGCCGGCCTCAGAACCATAAAGCTGAGTTTTAGAGCTGTGCCCTCATTAGGATATAATAGAATGAGTTGCCTAGTCATAAAAACAGAGTCACAAGCAAAACCCATGCATCAAGTCAAGAAGATCCAGCATTCAATACCTAAACTGAAAACAATGTATTAAAAATACATCTGCGCCAGCTTAATAGATGAAGAAGGGGTGTGAGGCTGGTCAACAGATAGAATCTGTTTACCCCTTAACATACATTTTTTCATTGCAACACAATAAAACTTGCAACAAGTGCAACAAGTCAAGTGTGCTTTTGTAATAAATGAATAAAAATAAATTATTTTTGAAGTTAGTATAATTATTATCAATTATTAAATTATTTTTGTTGTATCAAAAAAATATTCTTGATAATTCAATTTTTGTATGTGCTCTAATTATATGCCCATTTATGGAGTTTTCCATTATCCAAATAGCAGGTTTTTTTATACTTGTGTCATGCTTGACATAATTTTTAATTTTTTTATAGGTTATTCTTATTTTCACTGTTTTAAGATGTCTTTGAATAAGATAATACCTGTAACACCACATCATTTCCCAATAACATATATGGTGAATTTGCTTCCAATCAATATTGACTGACACAGATTTTTCATATTCAATCAGAGCCTAAAATATCAAAAAAAAAACTTAAAATTTATTTTACTATAACAACTTTATGTACTTTATTACACAAAAAAACCAAAGCATACCAAAATATATTTTTAAATAACCAAAATTTAATTTTGGTATTTTGTTTGGTATATAACAGTATAGGTTGGGATATAACAGTATAGTTTGGTATATAACATTATAGGTTGGGATCTAACAGTATAGGTTGGGATATAACAGAATAGGTTGGGATATAACAGTATAGGTTGGGATATAACAGTATAGGTTGGTATATAATAGTAATTTACCAAATACTGTATTTTAAACGACCATAATATTTTTTTTCTTTCTTTAAATTAAAAAGTTTTCTTTTTTTAATTTATACTTTTATTTAAAAGAACTTTTCCTAATACAAATACAACTTTACTATTACTAATACAAATGTAACTGCATGGGTTTTAAGCTGAATCTACTTGGTGTTTATGATTTTTCATACATGAGACAAATTCTAAAACTTAATATTTTCATGCTTAAGTCACATAATGATTGAACATTTTTACCCCCTGCAATCCTCCAGTTTAATAAAAGAGTTTTAAACTTATAACAAATGTAAAAATATTTATTGTTTAAGAAGATTCCCTACACAAGATTTAAGAAAACATAATGAAGTACTCAGTACTTAAAGTTCTCTAAATGAAGTGTTAAAAAGCAAATCTATGGAGCATAACCTGCAATATTAAATATTATATCATTAATGTTGAATCCAATGTTGAGTGTATTATTAAATTTTGCACTTGGTCAAACCTGTTTGCTTATTGAAAAAGTTTTAAATATTCATTAGCAATAGTGCTTACATGTGTTAACATATTTTAGTATAATTTACATGTTAAAAAAATGTTTAATATTGTAAATATTGTGGTAACATGTAAATACAGTATTAAATATAGTATTTACATAATAATTAACAGACTTTAAATATTAGACTATTTAAAAAAAAAGTGATTAAATAAGAGAGTTTTAAATTTTTTTTGTAAAAAAAAAATTTTAAAAAAAGTAAATTTTTTTTGACAGAAAATTGCAGAAGTTTATTGTAGCTTTTTTCTTCTAAATTCCTGATCAAGATAAAAAGAAAACTTCTTGGTTTTTTCTAAAAAAAGTCAAAACAAAGTAATGAAAACCAAAATTTAATGTTTAAAATTTTGGTAAAATAAAAAATTATAGAAAATATTAAAAAATAATAAATAAATAAATTTATTAGTACTATATATTTTTTATTTTTACTTTTTTTATTAAATAAAATAGAATTTTTTGGATAAAATTGTTAGTTTAGTCCGAATGGACAACTAACCATGTCTATTTTAAGGAGTTCCCAAATAATTCCAATACATAAGATGTTTTTAATGTAATTGTTTTAAAAAACTCACTCCAACTTTATTAAATTTTGCAGAATAACTTACTCTAGTACTATCTTGCCCTTATATCTCTGTAAAACAGAATTTGGATAGTAGTGGGCCTTTACAAGATCTTTTAATTGCAAAATGTTATTTCTGCTTAAATATTTCAATTATGTTTCTTCTACTAAAATTACATTATATTACAATAAAGTTATGAGTTAACATAAAATGATACAAGATATAAAATAAATGATATAATATGGTATAAACAATGGAAATAATATATCTGAAACTTGTTTTCAAAGGCAACAAATCTTTTTTTTAACTTTGAAAAAACAACAACTTAGACAATATTAAACAATATACTAGACTTCATTTTATAGCCTATTTATAAAAAATTAAAAAAAAAGAAAAGAAAAAAAAAAAAGCAATATAAATATGAATAAATTAGAATTGAAACATATTATACCTTTAAACACAATTTTTATTCTGTAATTATAATAAGACATCACAGTTTATATCTTCTTGTTAAAATTAAATATACTATGACATCTTTATAAAACTAGTAATTTTTACTTCTTTTTATATTTCTTGATTAAATATATATTAACTTTCTAAAAAGATTCTAAACTTTTATTTCATTTAAAAGAAAAATTCTTTCTTTACATTCTTGTGTTTTATAAAACAACAAGTAAAAGCATCATCTCTAAACAAAACAAAAGCCAGACAAAGCTTAAACAACCATTGTTGAATTTAACATGTTTTCAATATTTACACAAAAAACAAAAGGAAAAAAGTATCAAGTGCATTTTGTTAAGAAAAATGTCAATAAAAAAAATATAAGTTTCATAATGTTGCTGTTGGCTTTTTTTTATAATTCAGCTTTATCAGTACACAAACATATGATCAATTACAGAAGTGAAGAGGACTTTTGAAAAAATGAAAGCAACAAATTATTGTAAATATTGAAATTATTTGGTCTATATTTATATATTTTTATAATATTTTATACAAATATATTTTTCTTTTTTTTTTTCATTTTATTATTTGTTTATTACAATACATTGCTAAAAATTAAAATAATTTCAATTATATCGTAATAATAAAAAATAAATGATAATAGCTATTAAATTTGCATTACTTTTTTTTTATTTTAATTTATCATCTGAATGATATTTACAAACTAAACTACAATACAATACCTGAATAAAAAAATAAGATAACATAAACAAATATTTTTTAGATAATAATGTAGAAATAAAAAAAATAATAACTATCATAAAAATGATCAAATTAATTGTGATTTTTTTTTTAAGTACTATTTACGAAATTTTTTTTTCCTGGCTAAAAAATCTATAATCATTTTTATTTTGTACTTTTTAAAATTTTCTTTAGGGATGCTGTTTGTTTTGTTGGTAAAAAGTTCAGAAAACCATCAAATGTCTGAACTGGATAATATTTATAAACTTGGATGCCATTACAACAAAACATCTACGAATCTTGATGCTGATTTTATCTTTGGTGCTTTATTTCCAATACAAGATTTTAATTTTGAAGACGAAAAATATTTATATTCAGTTGAAGAAATGTCCATCATAGAAGCATTTTTATACACTATTGAAAAAATCAACAACAATTCTGCCATTTTGCCTAATATAACACTTGGATTTGATGTGCGCAACAGTTGCAACAATGTAAAAATTGCTATTACTCATGTAACTGATTTTCTGATTGATACAAAATATTTTTTTAACAAACAAAAAATTCATACACAAAACAACACCTGCTCCTGCTTAAAAAACAGAAAAAGCTTGTTAGCAGCAGTTATAGGTAAACAAAAAATTTTTTTAATACTGAAGTAAAACTTTAACTTCTTCTATTTTGAAGTTATCTTTAAAATTTTTTTTCCTCGCAATTTATGCATCAAAACATTTTGTAAAGCAGAAAAATATGACCCAAATGTTACATGGCTAAACATAAGGGACAATTTTCATTTTTAAGTTTTAATTTCATTACTTTCATGCACTCTGTATATTTATTCAATATTGACAAAAACCAAACAAACTGTATTGACAAAAAAACAAAACTGTAACAACTTTAACAACGATAAGAATAAACAGATTATAATGAACAAAAACGTGACAACAGCAACATGAAAGCCATTTTAACAATATTATCAAAAACTATTGTTTTTAATAAATATATATTTATAGGAGGTAAATCCAAAACAATTTCAATTGTAATGTCCGACCTTTTGCAAATTGATCAGATTCCTCAAATAGCATATGGATCTTCTGAACCTTATGAAGAACAAAATAGTACATATAGTGAAAACAAACGAACATCGAAACGTTATCTAAGCACTATCCCACCAGATGTAAACCAAATATTAGCTATTATTCATTTAATTGAACATTTTAATTGGACATTTCCATTTCTCATTGCTGCAGACGATGATTTCGGTCGTAATGCAATACTACTCATGCAAAAAAATTTTGAGGATAAAAACGGGTGTCTTGCTGCTTTACAACTTTTTGATGTTCAGCATCCAGAATATGCCGTTAAAAAAATCCTAATGGACTTGAAACTAATATTATCAAAAACTACTGTTGTTATTTTATTGTGTGAATATGAACAAGCCATAAACATCATTGAAGCTGTAAACCAAGAGGGTATTTTGAATTTAACATGGATTGGAATTGAAAGTTGGGCCACAAATATAAGAATATCAAAGTCAAACTTAACTATTCAAAATAACGCCATCATTAGTGTTAGAAAGACAATACCAAAAGTAAGCGAGTTTGAGGACTTCTTTGACAAAATTGTAGTTAAGTCTCACTTACCCAATGTATGGTTTGAGGGTTTTTGGGAGTCATTTGGAATTAGTCTTGAAGACATGAAGGAGTTTCCTCCTACAGGGGCACTTATTAGGAACCCTAACTACTATAGCGTTATGTCTGCTGTATATGCCGCAGCATATGGTCTCCATAAACATTTGAATTGTACCGAAAAAGGTTGCCATAATATAAACAAACCAATTTCTTACAAAAAACTTTGGAAGGACATTATAGGTTCATCATTTATTATTCCAGGTACTAACCAAAATTTCTTATACAATGAAAATGGAGATGTTGTTTCAACAACATATGAATACATTGCATGGGAAATCAAAACAAGTAAAAATCAAAGTGAAATTTACACATTTGGAAATTGGAATCTTGAAAATAATGAAGTTAATGTACACATAAATTTTTCAGAATTTAAAAAAAGAACTTTTAAATCAATTCCAATTTCAAAATGTAGCAAACCATGTAAGCCAGGAAATTTGACAATATTTGGAAAACAAAAATGTTGTTGGGAGTGTGCAATGTGTGATAAGAATTACATATCACTAGATGGATTAAGCTGCAGTCCATGTCCAAAGATGTCAATTTCTAGTAAAAATCGAACAATATGCCATAACTTAACAAATGTTAATCTTAGCTTAAAAAATAAAAATGGTAAAGTTATTTTTGCTATGTCACTTATAGGAACTTTTTTTGGATTATCAGCATTACTTGTTTTCTTTAAAAATTGGAATAGTCCAATCATAAGAGCTTCCAGTAGAGAAATGTCAACAACACAACTGATTTCAAATTTGCTTTTGTTTTGCCAGCCGCTCATGTATCTTCATAATTTAACACCAATCATTTGTGGGTTAAGAATTACTTGGTTTAGTATATTGTATGCTTATGTAATATCGTTTATACTTATGAAAACATATCGTTTACTGCGCGTATTTAGAAAAAAACGATTTTCTAAAATATCCAGATTTTTAAAAAACAAATACCAAATAGGGTTCTCCATGTCACTAGTAGTAATTCAATTAGTTGCAGAAATAATTTGGCTTTTCATAAATCCACCCGAAATTCAACAAGAAATAGACGAAGAGAATTTTACAATTATATACTACTGTGGAACCAAAACTGATATTTTACTCTATTGCAATGTAATATATATAATTCTTTTATCTCTAGTTAGTGGATACATGGCTTTTCGTGCACGAAAACTTCCCCAAAACTATAATGAAGCACATTACATAGCTCTAGCAATGTTCATTACATGCTTATCATGGGCTCTATTTATCTTTCTTCATGCTACAAGTGAACGAAAATTGAAGAACTTTGTTTTTCTTGTAATGAATTTGATAAATAACTTTTGCTTGCTAACCATCCTGTATAGTCGTCGATTCATTGTTATTTTATTTTATCCTGAATTGAGAGACAGAAATAACTTTACAAAAATGCGTAAAAATGCAACAGTAACAGCATTTCTTAATGAAAATGAAATCAATAACGAAAAACAAAAAGTTATAAGCTTTGATTTTGACAAAATGTTTGATTCATACAGACAAAAAAATAAAAATTCTATTGCAAGCAGCTCATCAATGATTAATAAAAAAAATAGCACAAAAAAACGTTTAAAAACAATAGATAAAGAAAATGATAAAATGCAAAATAACAAAACAAAAAATTTAAAGAAACTAGCACAGACAATGAAAGAACCAAACAATAAACTAGAACCAACTATAAAAAGAAGTTTATCATTAGACAACATAAAAACTTATCGTAACAAAGCATTTGAACATATTTCAGATATTTCTAGCAACAAAGTGAATTTTTTTGAAAACAAAGCAAAATTAGCACAACAAACAGGTTCCATCTACAAAAAACACAGTAAAGAAGTAGTTCAGAATACAAAAATACCATCAGAATATAGAGATTAAAAAAAGAAAAAAAGAAAAACAACAAAAAAGAAAATAGATAAATTCAATAAATTTGTTTTATAAATATTTATGCAGATTGTAACTACCAAAAAAAACTATTCCGTTTTTCTATAACAGAGACTTTTTTTTATAATATAGACTTATTTTATTTCCTTATAAAGACTTATTTTCTTAAATAACGTGATATATGAGTGACTTTTTAATAGCTTATTAAATTATTTATTGATAGTTTATTGAAAATGAATTTAAAAGTTATTTTAATCCTATTATAATATCAAGAACATCTTATGATTTAAACAGCTAAGAAATTTTTTTAATGCAAATTAATTGAGTTGTTTAACTACTGTTATTTTGTTTACTAGAGTATTATGGGTAAGTTTTAAACATGGTAATGTGTCATAATGAAACAATGTTGTGCTATTGATAATTTTTTCATTTTCATTAAGTCTTCTAACTTTATTTTTTTGTTTTATAAGTGTGCAACCTTTATAAGTTTTATGTATTAATATGTGTAAACCTATTTATTTTTGCTAAAGTACATATATTGATATATAGAAAACAAAGGGAGTTGCTATTTCATTGACTGAGAGTTTGGGTTAACACAGAGATATGTTTATTTATTTATTTTGTGTTTTTTGCTAAAAAATTGTATGAAATTAGGTATATATATATATATATATATATATATATATATATATATATATATATATATATATATATATATATATATATATATATATATATATATATATATATATATATATATATATATATATATGTATATATATATATATGTATATATATGTATATATATATATATATATATATATATATATATATATATATATATATATATATATATATATATATGTATGTATGTATGTATATATATATATATATATATATATATAAATATATATATATATATATATATATATATATAAATATATATATATATATATATATATATATATATATATATATATATATATATATATATATATATATATATATATATATATATATATATATATATAAAAAAGTCAAACCATTTTTTTGTCCCCTTTCAGAAAAATTTTATAATATCTAGAACTTTCCGCTTGAAATTTTTTATTAAAGAAGTCATTTCATATAAAACATAAATAACAGTAATATTTTCTTTTTTTATTGTTGTTGTATTAAGAATAGATCGTTATCAGATGTAAATTAAAGCTATAATAGAACTATTATAAAGAAAAATAAAATGTTGTTAAAAAAGCAGTTATTTTTAGTTATTAAGGATTTCTTAACAAAATTTTATTACTATATAATAAAGAAGTCATTGTGTTGCTAAATTTTTTGAATGATATTGTTTGAATGTACAGCATAAATACACTAAATAATTCTATCACTGAAACATTTTTCATATTTTTATTAGTATAATGGTGTATATTTAATGTTTATGCTTTAGCATTGAATAAAGAAAAATTACCCTAACAGGGCCGACAACACGGGTTTTGAAGTAAAGGAGAGGGGCACAACCGGCAATTTCTCAAAAAAAGTCCACTATATCTTGAAATTTGCTAAATTTAAAAAAAAATCTTTAGAAAACAAGTGGGAAAGTGGCTTCCGGCCCCATTGGTGGCATCAGCCATGTCAGCCAAGTTAAACTGACATTTTATTTCAGCTAAAGTTCAACTAAAATGTCAGTTTAACTTGGCTGACATGGCTGACGCCACCAATGGAGCCGGAAGCCACTTTCCCACTTGTTTTCTAAAGTATTTTTTTTAAATTTAGCAAATTTCAAGATATAGTGGACTTTTTTTGAGAAATTGCCGTTTGTGCCCCTCTCATTTACTTCAAAACCCATGTTGTCGGCCCTGTTAGGGTAATTTTTCTTAATTCAATGCTAAAGCATAAACATTAAATATACACCATTATACTAATAAAAATATGAAAAATGTTTCAGTGATAGAATTATTCAGTGTAACTCTGTGTGTGTGTGTGTGTGTGTGTGTGTGTGTGTGTGTGTGTGTGTATATATATATATTTAAAGTTCATACTTATATTTTTATAAAATTAATAACCATCTACCTATTAAATTACTCACCTCTTTTATTTGACATTGTGTTTGCAACAACCGACCAGAAAAATATAAAAACAAACTACTCTAAAAATAAAGTGTGTCATTTAAGAATAAATAACGAAAATGCATGTGTATTTTAACTTTATAAAACTTTTTTTTTCTTTAATAATATTTGTTGTCACTTCATGCATAAGAATCATATTGTTTATTTGAAATAAGCTGAAATAACTTGTTTGCAAAACAAGAGATTTGAAATTTTGCATATTATTAAATCTAAATTAGAAAAAGCATTGAACAAAATGATCAATTTGCATTAAAATGATCAATTTGCATTAAAATGATCAATTTGCATTAAAATGATCAATTTGCATTAGTATTATTAAGGACCAACAAGTTAAAAAAATTTAAAAAATTATTAGGTAAAATTATTTTCTAAATATTAGGAAAAATATTAACAAAATATTAATAACTCTAAATATTAGGAAATTTTTTAAAAAATAATTTTGGTCACTTATGAATTAGGTGTAACCTGTGACTAAATTATAAAAACAACAATCAACAAGAATGTCAAGAAATATTGATTGTTAAAAATGAATGTGAACCAATTACAAAAATAAAATATTTAAGTCCACTGCATTGAAATGATTTGTTTGCAAAAAAAAAATTTCAAAACCGTGCATATTATTAAAACTTTAAATAAACAAACTTTGAAAGTAATGATAAAATTTAACACTAGAATATTCAAAGAGTTATTTTAATAAATTTGTTTGCTAAAAATAAATACTTTTGTTTATTTATTTTTTTTAAATAATTTTTGAATTTTGCTTTTAAATAAACTTTTCTTATCAAAGTTGTTCTTTTTTTTTAAAAAAAAAAAAATTTAATAAACAACTATGTTGTTTGGAAAACAAAATTAAAAACAAAATTGTTATTTGGCTTGCGGTGATGTTAAATGGGATGTTAAATTTGTAATATTACAATTTGTTGAATGTATAGTGAATGAACTTATGGTATTGAAAATTTGCTCGAAACTAATTGATCTCATTTGAAAAAAAAAAATATAAAATGCTAATTTTAATTTTAATTATTTTTTTTTTGACCAGAATCGCACCCCTTCCTCATCTATTAAGCTAGTGCAAATGTATTTTTATTGCATTGTTTCCAGTTTAGGATGCTGAATGCTGGATCTTCTTGACTCAATGCATGGGTATTGCTTGTGTTTCTGTTTTTATGACTAGGCAACTCATTATATTATCTGCTAATGAAGGTACAGCTCTAAAACTCAGTTATATGGTTCTGAGGCCAACTGGTAGTCAGGTTTCCTGAACTCTGTCGTAGCTCTCAGAAAGGCTGATTCCATGATGATTATCTTTCTGATGGTTATTTTCCTTTAACTCATAAAGACTTCAATAGTCACATGCTTGGCCTGGGCATTTTCATTCGTAAGAATTCACCGGTTTGTCGGGAAACTAGGTTTGAATCCACCATCTATTCTTTTATGTGATTTCGTTTAGCACCACTTCACCCTATTGCCTTTCTATTAGTTCTATATCACTCTTCTTCATCTCAAGACTGCGCTCTTTTTGATGTTATTTATGATGAAATCGACCATCTCTCTTTATCCATCAGCCAATAATGTTGTTGTTGGTGAATTTAATGCTCATCAAACTGAATGGCTTGGCTCTAGCGTCGATGATTCTGCAGGTGTTCAACCGCACAACTTTTGCCTTTCTCAATGCCTAACTCAAATAGTCAACTTTCCAACTCACTTTCCTGGCAACCCGAATCATTTATCTTTTCTACTCGACTTATGTCTTGTTGTTGATCCTAGTTGGTACTTAGTTTCTCCACATTTACCCTTGGGTGCTTCTGATCACGTTTTGATCTCTCTAAAACTATTATCTCATTCCTCTTCATCATCTAAATCTTCCTATTATCGTATCTCTTACAACTACCTTAAATCTGTTATTCCACCTCTCTTTTATGATTCACCTCACCTAAAGACAAAGCTGAATTGACCTTGATTTTGTCTTTGTCACCTCACTTAAAGACAAAGCTAAATTGTTTGCTAAGAACTTTTCATCAAAATCATCTCTTGATTCCACTAGTTGCGTTCTACCTGATTTAGTCGTCAAACAGGTTGATCCATTTTTTGACATTCGCATCACTCCAGCTTCTGTATCTAAAGTGATTTCCTGCTTAGATTCTTCTACAGCTTGTGGTCCAGACAACATACCAGTTGTAGTCTTGCAGAAGTGTTTTGCGGAGCTATCCTCTATACTTTCAAAACTATTTAACAAGTGCTTATCAAAGTCTTGTTTTCCATCATGCTGGAAAACAGCATCTGTTTTCCTTATTCTCAAAAATTCTGGACAGCGATCTGAATTGTCCAACTACCAACCCATTAGTCTTCTTCCTATCATAAGCAAGGCTTTTGAACCTTTAATTAACAAACACTTAATCTCTCATTTTGAATCTAATAACTTATGTTCTGATCATCAATATGGATTTCGATCTTCTCATTCTACAGCTGATTTGCTAACAGTAATAACTGATAGGTTTTATTGTGCAGTAGATAGAGGTGGAGAGCTTAAAGCTATGGCTATTGACATTTTTAAAGCTTTTGATAAAGTTTGGCAGGCTGGACCTTTCATAAGCTTTCTTCTTACGGTGTACCAGGTAATATCCTTATGATTATTTAATATTTCCTTATTAATCATAGTATAAAAGTTGTCCTTGATGGACAGCACTCTTCTTCACATCCTGTAAGTTCAGGAATTCCTCAAGGTTCTATCCTTGGTCCTATACTCTTTTTAATTTACATTAACCATTTTCCAGATATTTTTACATCTAAAGCAGCATTCTTCACTGATGATACTACCATTTGTTCTAGTCATGATAAAAAGCCAACACTTTCATTTCTTTTACAGAGCATTTGAGCTTGAAACAGATCTCACTTTTGCTACAGCATGGGGTTCACAGTGGCTGGTGAACTTTAATTCGGATAAAACCCAATTTTTTTCAGCAAATCATTATTGCAATAATTTAGATCTTCCTATTTTTATGAAGGGTAATGTACTCTATGAGTCATCTACCCTTCATCTTCTAGGATTAACTCTTACTTCCAATCTTTTTGGAAACTATTTATCAAATTGATTACAAAATGAGCATCTGCTAAGATTGCATCTCTTTATTGAGCTTGACACTTTCTTACTCTGGATTCTAATCTTTATCTCTAAAAATCTCAAATCCGGCCTTGTATTGCCATATCTAGAGCAGATCTTCTAATGATGGCCTTTCTCTTTTAGACAAGGTGCAAAAATGCACTGTAAACATAGTTGGAACTGCTCTTGCAGGCAAACTTCAACCATTATCACATCATCATAATATTGCTTTTCTGTCTTTCCTCTAAAATACTATAATGGGCACTGCTCTAAAGAGCTAGCGCCTCTTGTGCCATCTACTAAAATTCATTCTTATGTTACTCATCATTCAAATAAGTCTCATCCTTTTTCTGTGACTGTTCCTAAGTGCTCCAAAAACTCTTATTTGTCTAGTTTTTTTCTTCGAACATCAGTTCTTTGGAATTCATTTCCTTCATCTTGCTTTCATTATTCATATAATTTGCAATTTTTTAGTCGTCTGTCAATTGTTATCTTGCTCTACAATCTTAATCTTTTCTTTTCCAATAACTTACAACTTTAATAGTGGTTGCTTGCAGCCTTGTTGGAAGCAAAAATGTTAAAAAAAAAAATTAAAAAAAAAAATTTACAATATAAATTAAAGATTTAGTTGTCTGTATAACTCAGAAAATTTTATTTATACCTGAGATATGAAAGTTCAAAGCATAAGAACTTAGGCAATTTTATGGTATATGTTTATATATATATATATATATATATATATATATATATATATATATATATATATATATATATATATATATATATATATATATATATATATATATATATATATATATATATATATATATATATATATATATATATATATATATATATATATATATATATATATATATATATATATATATATATATATATATATATATATATATATATATATATATATATGGTATATGTTTATATATATATATATATATACATATATATATATATATATATATATATATATATATATATATATATATATATATATATATATATATATATATATATATATATATATATATATATATATGGTATATGTTTATATATATATATATATATACACATATATATATATATATATATATATATATATATATATATATATATATATATATATATATATATATATATATATATATATATGTGTGTGTATATATATATATGTGTATATATATATATGTGTATATATATATATATATATATATATATATATATATGTATATATATGTGTATATATATATATATATATATATATATATATATATGTGTATATATATATATATATATATATATATACATATATATATATATATATATATATATATATATATATATGTGTGTGTGTATAGAGTATCGGACAAAACAAGTGCAACCAAATAATGCTAATTTAGTTTCTTTATATAAAAGTGCATCATTTTTTCAATTTAGAGAAACAACCATGTAACTGTTTAGAGACAACGATCTTCAAGTTTTATTCATCACAAAGTTCATTATTTGTACACGAAAATTAATAAATTAATTAAAAGTTTTTTTAATTAATTTATTAATTAAAAATTAAGTAAAAATTAATTAAAAAAAGTTGATTTCCTTTTGGACAGTTTGGATTTGTTCAAACAGTTGATCCTTATTACGAACACCTTCACGATTAATTCTGCAATTGATAATCTCCCACAGGTTCTCGATAGGGTTGAGATCCGGAGATTGATGCAGCCAATCCATCACTGATAGGTGGTTGTCTTGAAACCACTGCTTGACTACTATTGCAGTGTGTTTCGGATTGTTGTCTTGGTGAAAAACCCATTTTATTGGCATATTCCATTCAGCATAAGGTAACATCTTTGAGGATATTTTTTTACATGAAACGGTTCATTATTCGATGTATTGTACCTAGAC